ATATTTTTCTATTGGGAGGCAATGGTTTTAACTAGCGCTCTATTCGAAACCAATGATTGTAATTAGTTCTCCACTGGAAAGCAATTGTTTCTATTAGGCTTCTATTGGATACCAATGGTTTATATTAGCTGTCTATTGGAAACCAATGGTTTTATCAGTTTCCTATTGGAAACCAATCGTTGTCATTAGTTTTCTATTGGAAACCACTCGATTTTGTCAGTTTTCTATTGGAAACCAAGGTTTTTATTAGTTGTCGATTGGCAACCAATGGTTTTCATTAGTTTCCCATTGGAAACCAATGGTTTTAATTAGTTTTCTATTGGGGACCAATTGTTTGTATTAGCTTTCCAGTTTCCCATTGGAACCAATTGTTGCTATTATTTTTCTATTGGAAACCCACGGTTGTTAGTAGTTTTCTAGTGGAAACCAAAGGTTTTCATTAATTCTCGATTGGCAAACCAATTGTTTTAGTTAAGGGAACCAATGGTTCTAATTAGTTTTCGATTGGAAACCAATGGCCTTAATTTGCTTTCTATTGGGAACCAATGGTTTTCAGTAGTTTCTATTGGGTGGGGTGTCTAGAGAAAACAAGAACCCCACTTTGGATGTGGGAGATTATCCTGACGAAGGACCCAAGCATATGCTGTTGTGAATACCACCGTTATGGGGATCGCCTTTGGTGGAGCTCCGTACGAGGCTACGGAATGCGTGAAGGGAGCGCCGAAATGGGGCGGCGCCGCCATGCGGGCGCTGCCGCTGGGGCCGCCCGCAAGGGGCACGGAGGTCAGACGAAACGGGTCACATGCTGATGCAACCCGTTGCGGCTGAGAGGCCCTGGGAGAAGCGTGAGAAGACATGCGGGCGCAGCTACTGAGGCCTTCGGTGGAGCTCCCAATGGAGCCACGAAACGTTTGAGGGGTGTACCGAAGTGAGGGGGGGCAGCCTGCGAACGCAGCCGCTGGAACCTTAGGTGGAGCTCCCCATGGGGCTGCGAAACGTGTGAGGGGTGTGCCAACGTATGGGTGGTGGCAGCATGCGCACGCAGCCACTGGAGCCTTGGAAGGAGCTCCCAATATGGCCACGACACGTGTGAAGGGCGTGCCAAAGTGAGGGGGGTGGCGGCATGCGAACGCAACCACTGGGGCCTTCAGTGGAGCTCCCTATGGGGCTACGAGACGTGTGAGGAATGTGCCAAAGTGAGGGGGGGGGGGAGGCATGCGAACGCAGCCACCGAGGCCTCAGGTGTAGCTCCCCATGGGGCCACGAAACGCGTGCGAGGTGTGCCAAAGTGAGGGGGTTGGCGGCATGCGAACGCAGCCACTGGGGCTTTCAGTGGAGCTCTCTATGGGGACGCGACACGTGCAAGGGGCGTGCCAAAGTGACGGGGGTGGCGGCCTGCGAACGCGGGAGGGAGGAGGGGAAGGAGGCGAAGAGGAGGGGGAGGGGCGTGACGCGGGGCGCTGCCTCTTCGGGACGAGGACACAACTCAACACAAGATGCTTGGGAGCCCAGCCCGCGTGCCCCTGAAGAGGCACTCCCTCGAGATCACCGCGGGCGAGCACCCCCCGAGGCAACCGTCCTCTGTACACCCTGCCTCGGGCGCCCACGCCCGAGGCCGCGCGGTCCCCATCTTGAAAAACCACGGCGCGCTCGCGCTCTCCTGGTTCGGGGGGCCACATGCGAACCCTACCCCACCCTCCCCCCCAAAAATCGTGGGGGGCAGGGGTAGGGTTCGCACGTGGACCCCTGTGGTGCCCAGGAGCCCGGTGTGTAGAGCACTGCTGCCTCGCGCACGGAGGCCACCATCGTCAGACCGTCGTCGTCGTCGTCGCCGTCGTCGCCGTCGTCGCCGTCGTTCCCGTCGTCGTCGTCGTCGTCGTCGTCGTCGTCGTCGTCGTCGCCGTCGTCGTCGTCGTCGTCGTCGTCGTCGTCGAGGTGGCGTCGACTGCGGCGCTCGAGGCCGAAGTCCCTCGTACGAGCACTTCGCACGCCCGAGGCCAGGGAGCCCACCCGGCGGAGGCCGCGCGAGGGCGCAGCACCCCCTCGCCAGAGAGCAGAGCACTGTCGTGCTGCGCCTCCTCCTCCTCCTCCTCCTCCTCCTCCTCCTCCTCCTCCTCCTCCTCCTCCCCCTGCTCATGCTCATGCTCCTGCTCCTCCTCCTGCTCCTGCTCCTCCTCCTTCCCCTCCTCCTCCTCCTCCTCCCGCCCTCTCATGCGCCCCCCTGGCCCCCCCCCCCCGTCGGTTCCCGAGAGCTCGGCGTTGGACCCGAGGCCGCGAATCTTCGAAAATAGACAGGGGCGCAGGCTCCCGAAGTCGCGGGCCCTCGCAAATTACAACGAGAGCGCGCTCCCGAAACCACAGACCTTCAGCAAGTGCTACAGAGCCGCGCAGCCAGCCAGCTAGCAGACAGCCCGAATCAACTGCCAACCATCAACTTAGACAACAGGCCAATCAGCCGAGCTGCCAGCCAGCCAACCGACAAGAAAACCAACGAACCTACCGACCAAGCGTGGCCATACAAGCAAGCTGAGGGAAGGCCGGTGGAGAGAGCGAAGCCTCCTCTGGCAACAAAACAAAGAAGTCTCCAGATCTCCCCGTGGGCCCCGGCCTCTATCTTGAACACGTCGCTGATGTCGGACATGAACGTCGTGATCTGCTTCACGAGGCTCTCGACGTTGGATTCGTGGCCCGTCTTCAGCAGCGTCGTCAGCGCCTGCCCGCCACTGGGGGCGTCCAGGAGGTAAGCGTAGCAGAGGGACTCCGAATGTGCGTGCTCACAAGTGTGAGTTGACAGGCGTCCACACGTGAACCCTGCCCCAACCCCACGATTTCGAAGGGGGGTGGGGGCTTGCTCCGCTCGGGACCTCCCGAGCACAGTGAACCCCCACCCCGACTTGGAAATCGTGGGGGGGGGAGGATTCACATGTTGCCGCCGAGTTCAGGCGGTGAGGCAGGGGCGATCGGAGGAGCGGTGGGAAGGGCAGGGAGGGCGGGGGGGCATCATAGGGGGGAGCGGGCACGTGGAGCGCGCATCGGCGCGCTATTGTGCTAGGGCCACTAAGAATAGCCAGACAAAAACGAAGGAGAGGCACGCTGGCTACAGCCGGGACGTTGACCTAAGGAACCCTAAACAAGGAACGAGGCCCCTTTTCCCATCAGTGCAACCTCGATTTCCCGTGGAAAACCTCGGAAGAACCCGAGGCAAACTTTGAAACACCTGAGGCAAGCTGTGAAACACTTAAGGAACACCGAGCCCCTCCCCAACGAAAAGGGCTCCTTCTTCAGTGCCCCGACTGTATGCCGCATCTCCTGAGCCAAATCGATCCACCCGAGCCCCCGCAACCAGAAGCGGGCCGGCAGCCAGATCTTCTATCTCGGGGAATGGGGCAGAGGAGGAAGAGAAGGAATAGACGGGGAGAAGGACTAGCTTGAAGGGGTGGTGGAGAGAAGATATGTTGAGTCTTCGGAGATGAATATCTGTTACATCGCGCCGCTATCTGCGTCAAATCCGCGTGGAGTCCACGTGTAATCTTGAATCCACTCCAAATCTGCGGCGAATCCACATCGGATGCGAGAGAAGGCTCCCCGAAAGGGCAGCGCGAGAGGAGAAAGAGGGAAAGGAGGAGGAGCGAGCGGGAGGAGGCGGAGCACGACGAGGACGACCAGGACGAGGACGAGGAGGACGAGGGAGGGCAAGGACGACGAGGAGGTGCAGCGCAAGGAGGGGGAGGACGAGGAGCAGGCGCGGAGGGAAACGTCCTCGTCCTCCTCCTCCTCCTCCTCCTCGTCCTCCTCCTCTTCCTCCTCCTCCTCCTCCACCTCCTCCTCCTCCTCGTCCTCCTCCTCGTCCTCCTCCTCCTCCTCCTCCTCCTCCTCCTCCTCCTCCTCCGCTCGGACCGTGACTCGTGCCTCCGGCCGCCGTCTGGGACGATGCTCGGCACCCAGAAGGGGGACACCCACGGCGAGGCTCTTAGCCACCGGAGAGCGCGCCGAGGCGCAAACAAAGAAAAACTCCGGGAGATCGTCCTCATCCTCCTGCTCGTCTTCCTCCTCCTCCTCCTCCTCCTCCTCCTCCTACCTCCTCCTCCTCCTCCTCCTCCTCCTCCTCCTCCTCCTCCTCCTCCTCTCTCTCATCCTCATCCTCCTCATCCTCATCCTCATCATCATCATCATCATCATCATCAGCATCATCATCATCATCATCATCATCATCATCATCATCATCATCATCATCATCATCATCATCATCATCAGCATCAGCATCATCATCATCATCATCATCATCATCATCATCATCAGCATCATCATCATCAGCATCATCATCATCACAGCACACCATCATCATCATCATCATCATCACCACCATCAGCATCATCATCATCAGCAGCACCAGCATCAATCATCATCATCATCATCAGCAGCATCAGCATCAGCATCATCATCATCAGCATCATGATCATCACCTGCATCATCATCATCATCATCATCATCATCATCATCACCATCATCACCATCATCATCATCATCATCAACAACAACAACATCAGCATCATCATCATCACCATCACCATCATCATCATCATCATCGTCGTCGTCATCATCAGCATCACATCATCATCATCCTCATCATCAGCATCATCATCATCATCATCATCATCATCATCATCATCATCATCACATCCCCCTCCTCCTCCTCCTCCTCCTCCTCCTCCTCCTCCTCCTGCTCCTGCTCCTCCTCCTCGCCCTCCTCCTCCGCCTCCTCCTCCTGGTTCTCTTCCTCCTCCTCGTACGCCTCCTCCTCCTCGTCCTCCTCCTCTTCCTCGTACTCCTCCTCTTCCTCCTCCTCCTCCTCCTCCTCCTCCTCCTCCTCCTCCTCGTCTTCGTCCTCGTTCTCGTCCTCGTCCTCCTCGAGCAGAGTTGCGGCGGCACCTCGAGCTTCGGAAAAACTCCCCGAAGAATGCTCGAGGACTTCCCGAAGGCTTCCCCCAGAGGTGCCCGAGCTGACGGAACATCCTCGAGGCGAGGAGTCCCTAACAAGTGCACGAATTAGCACGCCCGAAGTGGACACAGCAAACCAAAAAGAATTCGATGCACCACAGCAGATTCTCTCCTAAACAAACAACGGCCGCTCTTGGACATGCGACCTTCTGCCTCAAATGGGCAACGTCCGCGGCAACACCGACAACAAATATGGCTCAAATGAGCAGGAATTGGTGTCGGTCTTCGTCGCCATTCTTTCAAGGCCTCCGAAATGAGCTCCGAGTAGATGGGGTCGGAGGATCACGCCGCATCGCCGATGCATCGCCGATGCATCCATCGACCCCAGTCTTGGACGCCCGAAATTGGTACGGAAAAATGGGTACAATGCCCAACAACAAATGTTGTCCATAACCAGCAGCGGCCGCTGTTGGGCAGGCGGCCTTCTGTCCCACATGGGCACCGTCCGCGGCGACACCGACAGCGAAGCCTGTTCAAAATGAGGCGGAACGACTGCCGGTGTTCGTGCCCATGCTTTCCGTATCCACTTCGGTCGCACCGACCGTCTGCTCGGGCACAATCTGGGAGGCCTTGACTCTTGCTGTCCCCATGCCGGTCGTACCGACCGAACCCCGCCGCTGCCCCCCCCCCCGCCCCGCGGGCCGCCCCGGGCCCCCCCTCCAGCGTCGCGGTGTTGCGGTTGGGGTCGGAGAGCAGCGTCTCCATGTCGACGTTGCACCTCGCGGCCATGTTGGGCCTGGCGCGACCCTCCCCAGGGCGGGAGAAGAGGAAGACAAGGAGCAGAGCGTGGCCCTCCCCCTGGAGGGAACATTGGCCCAGGAGGATCGACGAGGAGGACGCGGAGCAGGCTTGAGGAGGATCGAAGAGGAGGAGCGAAGGGGGGGAGGACCGAAGACGAGAGAAGGAGGAGGAAAGGGAGGAAGAGCGGGGAGGAAGAGGGAGGAGGAAGGGGGAGGAGGCCCTGGCGTGCCTCTCCCCCTTGAGGGTGCCTTGGCGCATCTTAATGCTTCCTCGCTTTCTTCCGCCACCCCCCCCAGCGGCGAAGGCCCCTTGGGGGGAGGAGGGCTGCGCCAACGTGACACTGGAGCCAGCATCCTTGAAGCCTTGGAGGAGCAGGAGTGGTATGACATGGGTTCCGCGGGAAGACCCGAAACACCGAAACGTCAGGCGCACGACTCGCCCCGCGAGTAAAGAGGCAGGGCTCAACTCGGGCCGTCCCTCAAGGAAAGCTTCACATCTTTTTTCAGCCTCGAAATCAGCTTCGGAAACCGAGGATGAAACGTTACCTACCTATATCCAAATGTATTCACTGTATATATATATATAAATATATATATATATATATATATGCATACCGTCCTAGTTATATACCTACATACATACACACCGACATACATATATGCGTACATAGCGTCCGACCTGTCTGTCTGTATACAAATATATACATACGTACGTAAACACATGACTGCATACAGACATACGTATCTACGTACATACGTACATACACACATACATACATACATAAGTACACACATACGTCCATTGGTGTTGTCCGATCTATACATACATACATACATGCATGCATACATACATACATACATGCAAACAAACAAACAAACAAACATACATACATACATACATGCACGTAGCACGTTCATACGCACATGCATACATAGATGCATGCGTACGCTTGTACGTGCGTACGTGCATACATGTATACATTACTGCTGAAGAGGAGGGCATGGGAGGGAGGGCAGCGGGGGGGCGAGGAGGAGGAGGAACGTACGAGCGTGAACAAGAGGAATTGCGAAAGCATGACGAGGAAGCGAAAGCGCAAGTGGAAGCCGCACATATGGAAGAGGAGCTGGAGCCAGTCGTGAGGGACCACGAGGCGGGGGAGATCCAGAGGCACTACTACGAGGAGGCCCCGATGACCCAGTTCGGCCCTAGTGGTTCCCAAGACTCCCAAGTTGCTGATAACTGCTCGGAGCATGCCCCGATGATCTACCCCGCCAGCTGGCCGCCCTGGAGCCAGGACCACCCCACACCCGAGGAGGGTGAGGGGATGAGGGGAGTCACGCAGCACGAGGCAGACACGGACCTGGCCTCCACCTCAAGGGCTAGCTCGGTACCAGCAGAGCAAGGCGACCCGCCCACCCCGACAGCATCCCAGGTGATCTTCATCCCAGCGTCGCCAGCGCCTCCGAGTGAGAGGTCGCTCACGCCTACAGTACTCATCGGGAATGACGAGCAGCGCGGCCAAGAAGGTGTAGAGGGAGCCGATAGCTTCGAAATGACCCCCCCCCCTGCATCCCAGCAGGGCGCGGAGGCGGCAGCAGCCAGTATCGAGAGGCAGTACGAGGGCATCGACATCCTCACGCGCCAGCACACCTCAGCAGCCGCCGCAGTTGCAGCCCTCGAGAAGGCCTTTGGACCTGCGCCAGCATTTCCAGGAGAAGACATCAGCCAGGCCTACAAGGGTCAGCGAGTAGACTCGGGAGAGACAGGCATAGCACGTTTTCGTGGCCGAGTGGCCCGCAGGAGGGACGAGGCAAGGGGCACAGCAACCCCCTCCCCTCCTGCAACTCCTGGCGCTGAGGAGCAGGCAGCAGCAGCACCCGTTGACCCCCGCCAAGGGGGGGAGGCGGCCTAGCAGCGCCGCCAGGCACCAGGATATGCATGACAGAATTCATGGCCAGGAGGCGGCCGATGAGTCCGACAGGGCAGAGCACGACGGATGTGGGCTTCCTTCACGCTCTCCGACCAGTTTGACCGCATCGATCTCCTGCGCAGCATCGGGGAGAGCAGCTGGGGACCAAGGGCATCAGCACGGCAGTGGGGTCCTCCACTACGATGCTCAACCTACCAGTCCTCAGATGCCTGAAAGCACGGCGGGCCCTGGGGCAATCTGTTTCAGCCGTCGAGTAAGACATACACCACCAGAGATCGCGACAGTTACACCTGCCAGAGCAGCGACTCCCAGGAGGTCAGGGTCCCGAGGGGCCAGGACTCCAATTAAGGGCGCTACGGCAGCTGGTGTTGGCAGTGGGAGGACGACTCCCAGACGCAGCAGCCAGCAACTTCAGCGTCCCCAGTCACCAGGGTCTCGAGGGGCCAACGTGACACCGCCACGGCCGACACGAGGGCCGCCCGCCGCGTCTCGAGGGGCGCCAGGCGGCATCGAAGGAAGCACACTACCAAGGAGGAGTGATGCACCCATCAGTCAGTCAGTACTTCAGGGCACAAGCCACCGAGATGGCTGCAAGGATGCGTTACCGGCTGCCCTTGCACAAAGGACGCCTCCCTCCGCCATCCGAGTCCACGAGATTGAGGATGCTGACAGCATCTTTCTCGATGGTCAGAGCTCGATTGGCAGTGAGGCCGAGGTTGGCACAGAGCAACTGCAGTGGAAGCAAGCGCGAGCAGTTGCAGCCTTTCGTGCAGCCCATCGGCGAGCGTGCCGTGCACGACGTGCTGCCGAGAGCCACAGTAGTCGGGACAACAGCAGCACCCACAACCAGTACCGCGCCCTGCTGATGGATCACGGGCACAGCGCCCACACCCGACCCACCCATGCCAGCAGCCAGCAGTACTCAAACGTGCAAGAAGGCAGCCCAATCTGGCGGGCTTGCATGGGCTCCCATCACACTGCAAGGCCGCCGACGGGTGGATCTGCCCCCCACAGGAGCGAGCAGATGCGGGACCGCCCCCCCTTGCAGGTGCGAAGGCCTGGCAGCAAGCCTCCGTCGGGAGGGTGGCCGATGCCTTGCTCCCAGGCCAGGGACGCAGTCCAAGGGTGCCCGCGGCAGGACCTCGACGGCAGCGGCACTGCTCAGGGTACAGCGTGGAGACCAACGCCTCGGCCACCACCGAGCAGCGGTACACACAGAATTCCACCTACGGCCACAGCATCGACTGACGAAGAGGACAACCTTGCCCCAACCAACACCCATAAGCTGGACCAACGCACCAAGCCCCACCACCCACCAACCGAACTACCTCATGGCATGGCCGAACCCGAGCAGCACTTAGTGCCGACTAGGACCTGTCCAAGTTGGCGCGCTAGCGCGGGGTCGCCTCACACTGCAAGGCCGCCGACGGGCGGACCTGCTCCCCAGAGGGTAGAGCAGCTGCGGGATCAATCCCCCTTACAGGTGCGAAGGCGCGAAGGCATGCCTCCGACGGGAGGGTGGTCGAATCCGTGCCCTCGCGCCAGCGATGTCGCGTTGGGGTGCCCAACCAGGTCCAGCGGCTACCAGGCCGCCCCAGTACCACCATTGGCTCCAGCCCCGACAAACTCACACAAGTCACCGCGACCAGCCAGGTGGAGGCCAACGCTCCTCTCGGCATCAGCTGGCTCCCACCACGGCATGAGCGCCACCGACCACTCTGACGCTCCAGCTGGCAAACCTCATCGTCTACGTCACAGCATGCTCCATGCCCAATCACACGAGCCCCTGTTCAGTCAGGCCGTGCGGGCTGGATCGGACAACTTGAACTTCGATGAGGGGAGCCATCAAGCGTCACCACCATCTCCGGAGCGGAGTGGGCGGCAGGAGGGGGTCTCAACTCTCGCCCCGGCTGCACACGCGGCGCCATCGCAGCTACCTTCAGCCCGCGCTCCCAGTACATCAAGCCCCACCCTACGCGGCAAAGGATCAGTGTCGGCCGACGACGTCGAGTACTCCCCCGAGTACGTCCGAGCTGAGAGGGCCAGGCGCGGCCGAAGGCAACGGCAGCCCTACACCACGGCAGCGCCAGACAGAGGCCAACCTGCAGCACTACCAGTCCTCAGCCAAGACCCAGTAGCAGAGACCTTGCGAGGCCGAGGCCGAGTCAATATCTGTGCCGACGTCGACACCACGACCCTCCATAACATGGCAAGGCTAGCGCTGGAGATGTGCCCAGCACGTGAGCTTCCGACCAAGCGCACGCACATCTACACAGACGGCAGCTACAACGGCACCCCACACACAGCAGCCTGGGCAGTAATCATTGTCGACGAATACGACGACGGGCGCATCTCGCGAGGCCCGTACGGCTTTCGGGGTTTCATTGCTGGCAAGGTCACCGAGTCTCTGCACGACATGGCGAATAACGAGAAGGTGACGGCATACACGGCTGAGCTCACGGCAGTGCTGCGGGCACTCATGTGGGCCCTTGGTCAAGACATCACCGTCCCCATCGAGATCACGCCTGACGCCCTGAACGCCATCAACCTGGCCAAAGGTGATGCCCAATGACACGTGCACCCACGGCTTGGTGCCGCAATTCGGTCGCTTGCTGGACTCCTCCAAGAAGCTCGACCTACTCAGTGGCATCAGATTAACTCACATATTGGCCACCCTTGGAATGAGCTTGCAGACGGAGTAGCAGATCAAACCTCGGCCACCGACCTGATGGACCCGAATCTAGCCGCAGTACAGGCGATCGCACACAACAAGTTCCTGTCCTGGGAGTGGTTTCGCTCAGCGCCTGGCGCAGTCAAGGCCGCCTACCCTCCCATGCAAAACCAAGCCTTCAACATTGGAGCCACCCAGCCCCAGGCAGCCCCCAGTGCGATCCAGCGGCCCATCAGCACGACCACCATCAAGGCCGACCTCAGCTTGAAGCTGTGCACCTACAACTGCAGATCACTCAAATCCGCCGTCAACTTCAAGTCAGGCAAAGGCAAGGCGGCCAGCAAAAGCAAACAGAGTATCTCCAAGGTTACACACCTAGCAGCACAGTTTTCTGACATGGGCCTACATTTGGTAGCCCTCCAGGAGACGCAGAGCGACGGAGATGTCCGCCACGTTGGAGAATGTGTCTGCTACTCCTCAGGTCATACGCAGCAGAACAGAGGATGCGACATTTGGATCAACGCCTCCAAGCCGATCAGCGTGGGCGGGGTCGCGAGGTACCTAAGCGCCAGAGATACCCTCGTCCTCCACCAGCACGACAGGCTCTTGATCATCAAGACCCGCGCGGCAGGCACGGACATGGTCATCGCCCCCGCGTACGCCCCCCACGAAGAATCTCAGTCGGCTGAGAAGACAGAGTTCTGGGAGTCTGCCCAGCGGCTGGCTGCCAAGTACCACGTGGACATCTTCATGGGGGACCTGAACGGGCGTCTAGGCGACTACGAGTCCCCAGGAGTTGGCACCAGTGGGTATCCAGAACCAACCAATGGCAATGGCAAGCAGATCATAAACTTCGCAGCCAACACCGACATGGAGGTCATCAATACCACGAAGGATCCAGGAAGCGACTCGTATACGCATATTGGATCTAAGGGGCAGCGCCGCAGGATTGACTACATCCTGCTGTGCTCCTCCATCGCCCCGTACGCGACGAGCTGCAGCACGGAGCCAGGTCTTGACCGTGGCGCCGCTGCACAAGACCACATACCAGTACTCGCCACCCTCAAGTGGGCCGTCTGCAAGACCACCAAGGCCTCAGGGCCGAGGCCCGATCTGAGCAACCTAAACAATGACGACGCCAAAGCCAGAATCAAGGAGATTCCCAAGAAGGCTCCGATCATCCCCTGGGAGGTGGACGTCAACACTCACTGCGAGGAGGCCACCAGAGTCGTCAACGATGCGGCCATCCAGGCCTTCGGCAAGGCCGTCAAGGCAGCTCGGAAGCCCTACATCACTAGGACCACCATGGGACTCATCCGAGCCAGGCGCCTCACACTACGAGTCCATCGTGCAGTGCTAAGAGGAGAAGCCCATGACGACCGACCTGGACGGCTGGTGGCCCATGCTCACTCCCTTCTTGAAGGCGAGGTCGGAGCCTCGTTGTCCCTGGAGTGCAGAGCGGGGCGACGACGACGGCACAATCCACGACATCCACTACTACGCGAACCTGCTCCTGAACTGGGCGATCTCACCCATGGACTATGCCATGGCCATTCACTCCTTCCTCACCAGGTCAGGGCTGCTCACGGCCTCGGCAGTCGAGAAGGACCGAAGCGGATTCCTCAGTCGGTTAGCCTCAACTGCGACCTCCGCCTCTGCCGCGAACGACGCGGCGGCCCAGTGGAAAGCCTATCGGGACCTACTAGGGCATGGCGGGAAGAAGGCGCGGTTTCCAGCAGGAAAGCCGATGAGACTGGACCAGAACGGAGAGGTGGTCCACAACTCCCAGGACACGGCGGACCAGGAGCTCAACCACTTCGCGAAGACACAGGCAGGCAAGATTGTGACAGCGGACGACCTTGCCCACAAGTATAACCAGGACAGCCAGACCAGGCCCTTCGACGGCATGCTGTATCTCTCCATGGCGATGCCCCTGCCCGTCTGCCAGGCCCAGTTCGCCGCGGCAAAGGCTGGGACGCAAGGAGGCCCCGACGGGCTCACGAACGCCATCCTCAGGGCAGCCCCTGCAGAGGCAGCCATGCTACTCCACCCCCTCTTCACCAAGGTGGCGACCACGGTGCGGGAGCCGCTGAGCTTTAAGGGCGGGGATCTGGTCGCCATCCCCAAAGGCAAGGGCGACCCCCGCTACCTCCTAGCCTACCGCGAAATCCCCCTGAACAACGTCCTGGGCAAGCACCACCACAAATACCTGAGGACCATGCTCAACGCCACCCTCGCCATAGCGCTGGAGGGCATCCAGGTTGGCGGCCGGCCCAAGAGGGGGGCTGACATGGCGGCCCTAGCAGCGCGCCTCTTCACCGAGAGAAGCCAGGCCCAAGGGAAGTGCTCCATGATAAGCTGCTACGACCTAAAGGAGGCTTTCTACTCGGTGGTCGCCCAGCTGGCCCACAGCATCCCAGGCGAAGAGGACGAAGTCAGGGAGGTGCTCGACAACCTAGAAGTTCCCCTGCGGGCCCAGCCGCAGCTGGAGCACCTCATGGCCAACCCAGGGATACTCGACACCGCGCTGGATGGCTCCCACCTGGCTGCCCTCATTGCCGAAGGGTATCGCAGTGGACATCGCACAGGTTCTCCCGGAGCTTCATGGCGCCGCACAAAGGCACGAGGCCTGGCGTGCCCCTCGCCGACGCGGACTTCAATCTGCTCTTTGGCCGCGTCCACCGCATGATCGACAGCTGCCCTGCACAGCGAGGGCTAAGGGCCCAGGGCTGACCCCTGGAGAGTAGCTTCGCATGCGCCACCGACCCTACAGACGGACCACTCCAGGAGCACGAGCCCCACGGCCTATCGTTCGTCGATGACCTCACGGGCATGCACGTGTTCACCAGCCCCGACCACATTCAGACTGAGGCCTCGGGGTTCTGCGAGGCCGTCTACTGCGCCACCAGCACCTTCGGCCTCCAGCTGCAGCTCACCAAGACCAAAGTGATGATCGACTTCAGTGGGCCTGGAAGCCGGCAAGCTCGGGCCAACTTCTATTCCAACGGAGTGCCGAAGATTGCGGTCCCCCTGGCGGAGAGCCACGTCGAGGTAGTCCGCCACCACAAGCTCCTCGGGACCTACGTAGCCGACAATGCATCTCCTGGGGTGGATGTCGCAGTGAAAGTAGCTACCGCTGCGACATCCACGCGGCCTCTCCATCGTGAAGTCCACCGTCGTTTCGAGCTGGCCGTCAAAGACAAGGCCTACCTAGCCGACAGCGTGGTGCTATCCCAGCTGCTATACAACGCGTCCACCTGGCCCGAACTCACAGCAGGCCAGGCCAGGAACTTCAACAACCAGTACATCGTGAACTACGCCGCCGCACAGAGGATCACATGGAAAGTCCGACAGAAGAAGGAAGTCACCAACACCCAGATCCCCGAAGGAGTCGGCAAGCTCCCCCCAGAGATCGTCCTGCGCCTCGAGAGACTTAGGCTATTTGGTAGAAGCCTCAACTGGAGCCCCCTTCACCTCCGTCGACTACCCAGCCAGGCATGGGACGGGAGTTACGGGTGGGGAGCACTGCTCCGCCGCGACTTAGACTGGGTCCGCGACCACACAGGACCAGACGAGCGAGGTGGAGCCTACACACTCGACGACTGGAAGGACTGGGCCAGGAATGACTACAAAAGTTACCTAAGCGCAGTCAAGAAAGCTTGCCAACGCGGCAAAGCCCGTCAGTATGATCACGACCACCATGCTCGATGGCGGCTACGACTCCAGCGTTGGACCCATACGGAATCCATCTCGTCCTTCCCAGACCAGCACTTCCAGCAGCAGCGCAAGTACCCATGTTACCACTGCGGGCGCACAGAGCTCAGTGCAGCAGTACTAAGGGCCCACATAACCAAGGACCACACCTCGTCGGAACATCCAATCTCGTGGGCAACTGGCTCGGTCTGCTACGGATGCGGCATGGACTACCACACCACTAACAGGCTGGTCAAGCACTTGCTGCGCGTCCGCAGGCGCGCCCGACACTGGCGAAGAACACGTCCAGCGCTGCTCAGCAAGTCCGAGCTGCAGCACAACCAGCAAGTGGTGCGAGACCAACAGCAGGCGAATAGAAGGGCTGGCAGGCCCATTGACTGGGCCGAGAAGCCTGCAGTCCCTGCTCGCCCTCCAGAGATGCACGCGGACGATGACAGCGACGACAGCAACAGCGGCCACCACCAGGACCTCGAGCTCCCCTTCATCGAGGAACCGCCGCCGCCGCCAGCTACTGCACCCAGGCCTACGCCAGCTCGGACACTATACGTGCTGCATCTGTTCAGCGGTCGTCGCCGAGAAGGAGACGTTCAGGACTGGTTCGACCGCGTAAGCAGTCGGGCCTCATGCGACCTACACATGCTCAGCCTGGACGTTGCCAACGACCCGACCTTCGGCGACCTGACATCATAAGCTGCAGTCAACAAGTGGCGAAGCATGGCGCAGGCAGGAAGGCTCGCAGGAGTCATCGGCGGACCACCGTGCGAGACATGGAGCCGAGCGCGTCACCTGCCCCCCAACGCCTGCAGGGGTCGCCCACCGAGACCCCTGAGGAGCAGCAACAGCTTGTGGGGCCTCCGCCACCTCTCCCGACCAGAGATGGAACAAGTAGCGATAGGCAATCGCCCATACAGGACACAGCTGGAGCCCATGTACATGTGCCTCAACCTTGGCGTCCCAGGCATGCTCGAGCACCCGTGCGAGCCCACCGAGGAGCATTTCGCCAGCTCCTGGAGGCTCCCCGAGACGCGCCACCTCCTGGGCCAGCAGGGAGTCGAGCTGATCACTTTCGACCAGTGCACCTGCGGGGCGCGTTCGAGGAAGTCCACAAGCCTGCTGGCGGTATCCCTTCCAACTCTCCGCTCGGAGATAAGAAGGCTGCCTGGAGGCGGGAGGTGCTTCCACACGGCCACCTACCACGCGGAGCTGGCGGGCATCAACGACGACGGCCAGTGGCGCACCGCGGCGGCCAAGGAGTACCCGAGCAGGATGTGCCAGGCCATCGCGACGGCGCTGATGAAGCAGATAAGACGGCGCTTTGGCGAGACGCCTAGCGACGCCAACGGATGACATATCGACGGCGACGTGGCCCACTTCTTCCAGCCGCTCGACCACTACAAGACCAGGGAGATGGGCCAGGACTACCACCGTGGTCCAGCGAGGCGAGGGAGCGCCCCGACCTGGTTGGAGGAGGCGAGGGAGTGGGCCCTGCAGGACCGACCCGACAAGGCTCTGGGCAGGACCACCAACTCGACGAGCGCTGATCGGGCACAGTTTGATGATGCTGATCGCGATGAAGAGCGTTGACGACAAGTACAAAAGCGTCAGGACGCAAGTCCTGAGGAAGCCCCGAGTGCGAGGGAATACCTCAGGCAACGTCGCCAAGTTTTGCACGAGTTGTTAGGACGCAAGTCCTGGGGAAGCCCCGAATGCGTGGGAACACCCCAGGCACAAGTCGCCACGTTTTGCAGCATTGATGCACATAGCGACCGTACAGCCAGGGCTCACAGTTACCAGCCAGACGACATGCCCACCACACCAAGTACAAGTCAACGCTGCCCTGGTGAGGCAAGGATCAAACTTCGAGACGGGCTCGAAGGGTGGGGGGGCAGGACGAGTACTGCCCGTGCCTACCAGGGGGGATGGTGAGGGGCAGGGGGGGGTAGGACGCAACTACCCGCGCCCCCGCGGTCCGCCCTAGCTCGCCACCCCCACCATCCCCATGGCGGAGACGGAGCTTACCCGAGCGCCCAATGGGCGAAGCATAGGGCAGCCGAGACATTCCTCATCGACAACAGAAGAATCACTGGGCCTGGGGTTCGCCCCCACCGAGGGCACTGTGACCCCTAGCCATAGCGGGACGAGGTGGGGCCGCCACGAACCCCACTTGAAGTCGGTGCATGGAGGCCCTAAGTGCGCCCAGCCCATTCCACACCACCAACAACAATCCGACCTCCCAACGACCCACATACACCAGCACGTCAAGTACCTCAGCGACCGCGTCGAGTACTGCGAGTTCGAGCGCTGCACAGTCAAGCAGACCACCTCGACCAGTACGACCGAGCCTAGCATCAAGAGCTTAACACCACATCAAGCTGTACCTTCAGAACACCGCTACCGAGTTGAGAATCGCAGTCAAAGACTTCCGAGCCAAGCTGCGCATCGCCCAATCCTACGCGGTGGGGGTGCATCAGCGGAACGACCAGCACGCATGAGACGGGCACTGCATGATGATGGCCAGCTTTTCAACCACGACTACCTGAGCCACCAAGACATGGTCGAGCACCACAAGGTGGCATCACAGTCATAAGCAGCAGGATGGTGACCAGCATGGCCGAGTCGGGCACCATAGCTCGTGGACTACAGTGCCAAGCCACAACATGGTGCCGAGCGTGACGGAGTCGAGGGCTGTATCGTCGGGCGTTCAGAGCCAACCAGTACTACCCCGGCCAGCACGACTGAGTCGAGTACCACAAGTGCGAGCGCCACGTAACCAAGCAGTACTGCGAGCTGAACCGCAGGTTCAAGATTCAGTATTGGGCCACGCAGGCCGGCCTCGACACGGCCAGGGCGCTGGAGGTCGGAGAGCGGGCAGGCGCTCTTGAGCTGCCGCTCGACGGCGCCTGAGAGGACCGCGGGGCCGCGTAGATAGGGAATAAAGAACGGCGTCGCCCCCTTTCCCCCCCTGTCCTCAGGCTGGTTGTTCGTTTATTGTTTCATGGTTCGGGCCTTGTGCTCTGTGGGGGTAAAGGGGGTGGCACGCCAGGCGGGCCCTGGCCCACCGTGCTCCAGGGCCTGTGCACTGCCGCCCAGGACAGGTGACGCAGCTGGCCGAGGCTGCTTTCCTGGGCGGCAGCGCATCGGGCCAGAGGGCAAGTCGCAGGCCATAGGACCCCGCTCCTTTCTTCTTGGGGCCCCCGCAGGCCCTCTTCCCTCCTCCTTGCGGGGTCCTATGGTGCCTGGCTTTTAGCTTCACTTGGGCCTCGCCCCCCCGCTCTTCCTCCGCCCCGAGTGATCCTGGAGGCCCTTTCCTCTCCCCCTGGGCGGGCCCCCCCCCCTGCGCCGAGGGCGCCCGCGTGTCGGCCGCGCGCGCGGCTAGGCTTGGGCGCAGTGGCGCCTCTGTTGCGGCTCAGGGAGCGGATCCATCAGGCCGCCGCAAATAGCGGAAATAGCGGAGGAGGAACAAGTGGACGAGGAGTTGGGGGGAAGAAGCGCCAAGGTCTCGAGGACGCTACAACCAAAGTACGAATACTATCCCAAGAAGCGTCCAGGATGGCACCCAAGATGGCCTACAAGGTTTTACGCACGCCCATCACGACTGACCCGAGATGGCCCAAGATGCTTCCAAGAAGCCCCTTCATAGGGGCCACACACCAATTCCACGATACCCAAGGCGATTCCCGAGATGGCTCACGTGACCGACCGAAGATGCCTTTCAGTGGATCCGCTTCTCATGTGTACGTATGTATGCATGTATGTACGTGCGTACGTATACACGTACGCATGTATGCATGTGTGTATGCATGTATGCATGCATGCATGCATGCATGTATGAATGTGTGTATGGATTGGTGTATGCACGTGCTGCGCGCACGTCTGCTTGTATGCATGATTGTGTCTAAGCCTGTACGCATGTAGATAGGGTTATATGAAGGTACGTATGCACACACGTATGTATGTAGGTATGTTTATATGCAGGTATGTGCTTACGTACGATGTATATATTTATGTAGGTAAGAAGACATGTAGGCAGGCATGTAAGTAAGTGTGTATGGTTGTGCGCATGCTTATATAGCAGGGATGCAAATATAAATATGTGTTTACATATGTACGTGCATACTTACTTACGTAGGTATGTATGCATGCATGCATGTATGCATGTGTGCATGTATGTATGTATGTCCTCCTCCTCTGTGCCTCATCCTCCTCCTCCTCTGTGCCGTTCTCCTGCTGCAGGCGAACGGCACAGAGGAGGAGGAGGAGGAGGAGGAGGAGGAGGAGGAGGAGGAAGTAGAGGAGGAGAGAGGCGAAGAGAAGGAGGGTGGTTGGGCGAAAGGTGGGTGACGGCGGCGCGGAGGGAGGAAGGCCAACCAGGCTCGAGCATATCCCTATCAAGATGGCTGGCAAGCCGAAAGGCGATGACAATCTCAGGGACGTGCGCCCTCACAGAAGGCTGAGGGGATCCTCAGAATCGGCATCGGGGTGAGGGTGCTGCAAGTCGTGGGGACAAGGATGTGCCTCAGGCTGGCAGGCAGGCGGGGGCAGGGGGCAACGACAGGGGGGCAATGGCGGAAGGGACTGGCCCAGCAGCAGGAAGCTTGACCTGGAATCCGCGATAGTCGGGGATGGACAGACCCCCCATTAGTAAAACGTGGTTTAGTGAAAACGACCTGAGGCCCAAACCTGGCGGGCGCAAGCCTGGAAAATAACGGCCACGGCGCCCTCTCGAGAACCGAAAACGGACAATTCACTAATCGACGTGTCACTGTTGGGGGTTCTGTCCACCCCCGAGATAGGCCCCCGACAATGCATTCCCGCACCGTCCTTGGCGGCCCGGGGGACCCAGGCCGCTATACTCGGCGATCCCTGGGCGATCGGGGTCGATGCGCTCCGCCCCCCCCCCCCCCGCCTGAGCCTGCACCGCCCAAATGGGCCTCGCCGCCTGCCTCTCGCGTCGCACAGCTCGGGTCTCCGGCGGCCGTCTGGGGCCCCCTCCGGGCACCCCAAAGGGACCGCTCTCCGCGAGGCGCAGCCGCTGCGGAAGGCACCCCGAGGCCGGAAGACCTCCGAGGAGCCGACGACGGCGTCCGAAGGCCTCGAGCCTCTCGGTGCGCCGCCGCCCCTGAGCACACACCCCTTCTCATTGCACCCGCCTTGCAGACGTGCTGCAGCGGATTTCTGCGTGGACTTCTGCGTGGACTTTTGCCCGAAACGGCGTGCGAAAAACGAGGCGAATGTCGCGTGGGTTCGTTTCGGTCGTCCTTCCCAAAGAAATCCGCGCGAAACTCACCTCGAAATCCCAGACCGAGATTCTCCAGGACACTCCGGGCCCACCCCATCGTTTTTGCGAACGAGATCCGCTCTGCGATGTTGGCGCCGTGACCCTCCGCGCTGCCCGCGTGGCCGGGAGGTGGGGCGGGGCGGAGCGGCGGCGGGGGCGGGAGCCGCGCGCGGCGCCCGCGCGGGAGCGCCTTCGAGGCCACGCCTGCGGGGGCGTCCCCCGGGGCCCTTCCTCGGGGCCGCTGATGGAGCCGTCGTGCGCAACATGGGCTGCACGGCACAGGTTGCGCAGCACATGCTGTATGTGCCGCACGGGCTGCGCCAGAGAGCTCGCACGCTCCACGCGGCCCCGAGATGCATGTGGACGGGGGCCCACGCCGGTCAGCGGCCACGAGCTGGCGATGGCCCGGGTCATCCAGCGGGGGAGGGGGAGGTGCCCGCCGTCAACGGTTCCTCCTCCTCCTCCTCCTCCTCCTCCTCCTCCTCCTCCTTCTCCTCCTCCCCCTCCTCCTCCCCCTTCCCTCCCCCCCTCCCCCCCATGCCCGCCCGCTCTGGGCAGCCCCGCGTGTGCCTGCGCGCACCAGTTCCCAGTTCTGCAGACCCCCTTCGGGCCTGCGAAAACGACAAGGTCACGTCATCTGGGTGATTGCAGGACCCTGTCGAGCAAATCTCTTGGGGGCCTCTTGGACCTCTAAGGCCCACCTTCGAGGGTCCCGCCGCCAGGCTTTCCGCAGTTCCGGTGGCTCGAGAGCGCGGAGCAAGCGAGGCCACCAACGGTGCGAAGCAGAGTCCCGTGCGAGCCAGCCTTTGTTGGTCACAGTGCTTGGGCGCTTCAGCGCTTCCGAAAACAAACATCATCACCTCGCGGCGCGCAGAGGGGGGTAGGGGAAAGGGGGACGGCTTCTTAGCCACGCCTTCTAAAAAGCAGGAGTGTTTCTAAGAAGCCTTACCCCTCCCCCTACCCCTCTACGCGTGGCTGAATCAGCGGATACCCTCTGCCACTCCTTCAACCATGTCCAGACGAGGGGGGCTCTGAAGGTCACAGCAAAGGACGCGGAGGAGGAGGCCTCCTCCCTCCTTCCGAGCACCTCTGGGAAGCTCGCCAACCCTCGAAAACCTCCTCCTCCTCCTCCTCCTCTTCCTCCTCCTACTACTGCATCCCATTTCCTTCTACATGTCTCCTCCCTGTCGCACCCCCAGACGTTTCGGCAGGGCGGGCCAGGCGTTTCGCCTGCGACTTCCTCACCATCCAGGATCCTGAAGCTTAAAATGTGTAGCAGTTTCGCGGATGGTGGGCAGGTTGTTTTCAAAATGTACCTCTCGCTTGAGCGCCGCGCACGATCCTTGTTTTCAAAATGTTGCAACGGTTTCACAGATGGAGTGCGGGTGGTTTTCTCGCCGTAGCGCCGCGCACATTCGTCTAAGACTTGCAGCAGCTTCACGGATGGAGTGCGGGCTGTTTTCACAACGTAGCTGACGCCTGAGCGCCGCGCACATTCCTCTTCACTATGGATGGAGGGCGGCTCCCTGTCCAAATACGGCTCTCGCTTTGGCGCCGCGCACATTCGTTTGTAACAGTTGCATGGATGGATGGCGGTTCCTTCTCAAGATGTGGCTCTCGCCTGAGTGTCGCGCACATTCGTCCTGTAAGTTGGCAAAAGTTTCAAGGATTCGTGTGGTCGAAGTCACCAGAATGGCAATGTTCTAGCAAAGTTTAGGATTGTCGGGGCGCAACAATAAACACCGTAACGTTGATTCACGGCGTTCGAGTCCCAGGAACGGTGTTTTGGTACGGTTAAGGTTTCCAGATGGCTTTCCAATGGGCCATTGCCCGCAACGATAATACATTATGTTAGGGACCTATGAAGAAGGAACTTGGAGGGAGGGCCTACTGCAACATCGTTGATGCGTCTTGGGCTTCCCTCGTCCTACTTCTCATACTGGCTCCTGCTCCTGCTCCTCATCCTGCTTTCCTTCCGCCTCCTCCTCCTCCTCCACCTCCTCCTCCTCATCCTGGTCCTCATCCCTCCTCTCCTCCCCCATCGTTCTCCTTCCTGCCCCGCCTGTGCTGGGCGAGCAGGTTCAGCGTGCGGATCGCGCCGAAACGCACCACCGCTTTCGGGGACGTCAGGAAGATCTCCCACACCGGCCCGGGGGCCGCCAGGGCGGGGGGAGCAGCTGGAAGGGAGGGGGGGCGACGACGACGACGACGACGACGACGACGACGACGACGACGACGACGACGAGGACGACGACGACGACGACGACGACGACGACGACGACTGCGGCGGCGGCGGCGACGGCGGCGAAGACGACGACGACGACGACGACGACGACGACGACGACGACAACGACAACGAAGACGACGACGGCGACGAGGACGGCGGATGCGGCGGCGGCCGCGGCGACGGCGGCGACGGCGATGACGACGGCGACGACGACTACGAGGGCGAGGACGAGCAGGAAGAGGGCGAGGAAACGGTGGGAGGAGGCATGAGGGAATGAGGAGGAGGAGGAGGACGACGATGACGACAAGCTGGAAGAGGGGGGGGGAAGCGGGAGGACGAGGAGCAGCAGCAAGCGCCCTGTCGCAGAGGGGAGCCAGTGGCCGCACAGGCTCGAGCCCGAAGCGTGCTTCGCACTCCGACGGGGAAGGGCTCGGGCCCCCCCCCCCTCTGGTCCACCATCTCCTCCTCCCAATTCCTCCTCCTCCAATCCTCCTCCGTCCCCCCTCCTCCGTCCTCCGTCCTCCTCCTTTCCCTCCTCCTCCCTCCTCTCCCTCCTCCTTCCGCCCGCTGTTTTTCCCCATCCTCCTCCCCCTCATCCTCTCCCTCCCTGTCCCTCCTCTCATTATGTTCCTCCTCCTCCTCCCCCTCCTCCTCTTCCTCCATCCGCTTTCCTTATACTTAACTCCCCCTTCTCGCACCACGAGACGAGTTGGTAGGGCGGACTGGACGTTTCGCCTGAGACTTCCCCACCACATAAGATCCTGGAGCTTCAAATTTGCAACGGTTTCACGGATGGAGGACCGGTCGATTTCAAGATGTACCTATCGCCTTCAAAAAAAAATCGTCTTCAATAAAATAGGGGTATCACGGATGGGAGCCGGTTCCTTTTTCAAAATGTGGTTTTCGCATTTTGCGCCGCGCACATTCTTACGCAACTGCTTCAAGAATTGACTGCGGCTCCTTTTCAAAATGTAGTTTTCGCTCCAGCGCCGCGCACATTATTCGTTACAAAGTTCGCAACGGTGTCAGGGAGCCTTACAGTTGACGCCCCAGGAATGGTATCCATGCACGAATTGGAATTGTCAAGGCACAACAGTCACGTGCTTTCGCGGAGCTAACGTCCCAAGAATGGTGTTTTGGCACGGATCAGGATCGTCCGGGCGCATCAACAACGTTGACCTGCGGCGTAAACATCTCAGGAATGGTGTTCCGTTCCTGAGGATTCCCAGACGGCTGCTTTACTATGGGCCAGATCCCGCACTTCCCGCCACTATGGTAAATTGTTCGAGGGACCTGTAAAGAGGAACTTGGACGGAGGGTCGATTGCAGCGTTGTTGACGCGTCTTGGGTGTACACTGGTCCTCGTCCTCCTCCTACTCCTCCTCCTCCCCCTCCTCCTCCTCCTCCTCCTGCTCCTCCTCCCCCTCGTCCTCCTTTTCCTCCTCCTCCTCCTCGTCGTCCTCCTCCTCCGAATTGTCCTCCTCCCCCTCTTCCTCCTACCACGCCCATCCCCATCCTCCTCTTGATTATTGTGTTCCTCCTCCTCCTTTTCCTCCTCTTCTTCCTGCTCCTGATCCTCCGTGGTACATGTCCCCATTATGCCACCTAGCCTGCCGATGGCGGCCCAATCCGGGCCCTTTTTCCCATTTCGAAACATATGACGGAAATACAGGAATGCTATGAAATATATGCAAACACATACAGATTTATATGTCGACAGAAGACCACCCACTGCAAACAATCATGATGAAGGACCCGCAGTGCGCATGAGACCCCAGCAAAAGCGCAAGAAAGCATGCAGGAATAGGCAAGATAGAAACGAAGGCAAGCCAGAGGGTGTGAAGGAGTGACATACGTGTTCAGTACTTGCAACAGCGCCGAGCGCTACATACGCGGGAAAGAACAGCGCCATGCGCTCGCTCTATAGTAAAACAGCGCGTCGCGCTGAGCGAAGCAAGCGCGCGGGGTGGCATGGCGGGCCAAAAGCAGCTGAAGATGGGAAGCCACACGGAAAAAAACAGCGCCACGCGGTGCGTGGCGCAGCGGCTCCCTGCGAGCTGCGATGCACAGCGCCAAGCGCTGCGTGACGGGACAGCGCCGCGCGCTCCGGGAACCCCTGTCATTTTGGGTGCGGATACTTGTCGTCAGCTGCTCCACCCTCCCTCCAGGAGCCCACGAAAGTGGCGACAAGTGCGCACTGCGCAGCCCCTCAGGGAGCCGCGAGGTCCCAATCGGGTTTGCGAACCATTCCACTCCGCCAGACCTCCCAAGAGCCAACAAGAATGGCAACAATTGCGCACATCGCAGCCACGCAAGGAGCCGCGAGGTCCCAACTGGATCCCCGTACAACTCCAATCCGCTGGACCTCCCAGGAACCCACCCACGAAACTGGCGACGGTTGCGCACTGCGCAGTCACACAGGGAACCGCGAGGTCTCGACGTGGTGTGCTTCACTACCGACTCCGCTGGACCTCCCAAGAGCCCGCGAAAATGGCAGCAGGGAAAGCCCTACACGACAGTGGCGAAGCGGCGCAAGCGGGTCGAAGGAGAGAAGGGAGGAAAAGAGAAGGAAGAGGAGACGGGAGGCAGGAAGTAGGAGGCAGGAGGCAGGAGGGAGGGGAGGAGGGAGAAACGAGAACCCGACACAGGAGTGTTGGGAACAATGCAGAAACGACGAGTTTCGTCTCAACATGCATTGCGTCGCCGATGTTGCACAATGCGTGGCAGGAATAGGAATAGGCGCACATCCTGCGCGAAAGGCCAACATGTCGTTGGCGCCTGGGCGCCACGCTGTTCCGCTAGAAGTGAGTTCCCGCTGGGGTGCGGCGCACATCTTTCGCACGCCACTTCGTCGACGCGCGAACGGGCGAAAATGTGGCTCTCGCCCCTGCGACGCGCACAATTCGCCTGACGGTGGGCCAGCCGCGTCGACGGCGCGGCGCATTGTTGTCGCTCGCCAACCTTGACGGCCCGCGCGGGTAGGCGACGTGCCACCCCCGCCCAAGCTCCGTACACACTCCGCTCGGCAGCGGCGCCCCGCCCGGCGCGTAGCTCCTTCGCCGAACCACGTGCAAGCAACAGCGGAAGCGGGGCCGCGCGAGAGAGCGCGAGAGATGCCGTCCCCACCCGAGCGCCGCGCAGCTTGTCAGGAGGAAGTGGCAGGGCTGTGTCAGCGCGGCGCCGGCGCATGCTTCGTCTTCGCCGCGCCAGTCAGAAGTTCTGCCGGTCCGGCCCCTCGCGGCCCGTGCAGTCTTCCTTCTCGCCAGCTCGTCGGGAAAGGGGCCAGTTGTGAGCGCCTTCCGTTTGCGAGGTGTGACTGCGCTCTCAAATCCCAAGATCCGATTGTGGCACAATTGGGTATCATGTTGTAGGGGTAAGGGGACGCAGGCCGGGCGCTCTGACTCGCTCGACCTGGCTAACTTGACACCTCCTCCTCCTCCT